TCCCAGAGGACTATCTCATCTTCCCACCAGGAAATTCTCCATCCTGTCCACATCTGCACCCATATGTTTTTGCCTTTCCTCCTGCTACACAGGATGAAATTGCCCCTGTTCTATTTAAGGCTACATTCTTCATTTGTGCATGGAATTGCATCCCTTCCCTCCTTCCCAAGGACCTTATCCCAATTCCCCCGACACTGGTCTTCATCTTCTTTTTCTATTCTGTAAAAACATAACTCATTAGAAGCTCTAATCTACAATAGTACCATTATTTTAAGGATACACTGACATGTCTATGGATGACCATGTAGCATCATCCTTGATGTGTCTATTCCTTACCCCAAATGCTCAATTCATTGGCAATCCTCTTGAGCTCTACCTTCAAAGTATATCCCATGACCAACACTGTGATGAAAAAGTCCTGGGGACAGAGGGCAGTGATAATTGCACAATAATGAAATTTTCTTAATGCTACTGAACTGTATACTTAAAAATAGTTAAAATGGTAAATTTTAGGTTATGTATAATTTGCCACATTAAAAAAGATCAGTGAAGAAAAATATATATATTTGAGTCCAAACACTTTTTACGACCACTATTGGTCCCATCCTAATTCAAACCACTCTCATCTCTATTATTGCAGTTGCATCCTAAAATGTCTCCCTGCTTTTAATGTTGCCCCCAACCACAGTCTGATCCCTATATACAATAGCAGAGTGATGTTTTAAACCATAAGGTAGATCCTGTAACTTACCAGATCAAAGCACAGTTAGAATAAAATCCAACTCTTTACAAAGGTCTTGCTCTTCCCTGAACACCTGGGGTCTTTGTCCCTGCTTTCACTCTCTACAGCTGGCCCCCCGACTTCAGGTCTCTGCCTACATATCACCTCCTCATAGAGGCCATTTCTGACCACCTGATCAATGCTAACCTCCCAACACACATGTGCTCACATGATGCACACATGTATCTTTCTGCTTTATTTTTCTTAGTTGTATTTTTTACTACTAGACATCATCTATTTACTTGTCTACATACTTACTTGTAACTCTGTTTGCCCCTCTTGACTTAAGGTCAATTATCCACCACTGCTTTTCTAGACCTTAACCATGACTGGTACATAATAAGAGTTCAAGAAAAAAGAGGCATGAGCAGAATTGTTTGAGCCTTTGCATATTCAACTTGAAGTTTAGAAAATTGCCGATGGAAGAGTGTTCCAACACAGGCAACTGCTCACATCTGAAAAGATTCTCCTTTGAAAACAAAGCCCTTCAACAACCAATGCTGATATTTCAGGACGGACTGTTGGCAGCAGGAATGAGCGGGGGAAGGGGAGAGATGAGATCATAGAAGCCAGAGTGCCATGAAAAACATCAGACACTGTGCTTGTAATATGCGATTATAAATAATTGGGATGCTGATGGAAAGGAGTTTTAAAGGTCTCCTGAGCAGGATTCATTTAATATTTGAGAACAATTCTTCAGAAGATTATGTCATTATGTAAGAAAATAGACTTGTTAAAAGGTTACCATGGCATGCAGATCACCCCTAAGTGATGAGGAGGAGTGGTGATTAATGAAGAAAATGCTGAGTGTGTTTTCAGACCTCCCAGGATCATCCTAAGTGTGATAGGTGGTGGACAGAGTTTTTGCGGTATAGTGACATAGTGACATAGTGTAATCTGGCATAGTGTCTAATTTTCAGGACACTAAATTGGGGCCCCCTGAAACTAAATTCTGCTAGTATATTTTAGATTTCCTAAAATTTAAAGAGTGAAAAGAAAAAACTAGAGGGTTTTTTAAAATAAACTTCTAGAATAAAATGTTATTTTAATACGAAGAACCACATTACTGCTAATTAGATATAAAGAAAAACTTGTGTCCAGATTAGAAAGTAGGATTACTACGCTAAAATATTGACTAAAGACTGCATTAAAGGTCTGTAGTCTTTATTCTTCTGTTTCCTGTTATAACCAGGTCAATTTTCCCCCTTCTTTTTTGGTCTTATTCTGGAAGCTTTTCTTGGTGGGCATTTGGCTGGTAACTGAGTGGAGGTCCCTGGCTACTTCTGTGAGCCCCTGGCCGCAACCTCCCTGCTTTGTGGGGTGAATGTAGTAATAAGAAAAGTACGTGTAGTTATTCATGAGTTCCTCACTTGGAGGGTGACCCACAATCTCAGTTTACCTGGGACTGGAAGGGCTGGGGAACATGAAACTTCCATTTGCTGTATATGAGGAATTCCTGAGCAAACTGGGACGATTTGGTCACTCTTCCACTATTAAGTTCAGTGCTTGAACTATGCTAGGAGCTAACAGAATGCTTTTAACTTCCTGTAACCTCAGGGATCTTTGCTGGGCATCTTTAATCCTTCTCTTCCCATTTAATTACATTTACTGAATAAGAGACTGTAAGTTTCCTATTAAGCCTCAAATGTACTCCCCAAAGCAAGACGAAAAATTATGTTTATGAATTATTATGATTATAATGACCATGTGGCTCTCTCTACCCCATCCCATTCCAGCTACTCTCACTTAACCCACTCTGGGGCCTCAGCCCTACCCCAGACTCTAGGCCTAATCCTGAGGGTAGACTTGGCGCATTGCAGGAGTCTTTTAAAAAAAGACTTATTTATTTTTAGAGAGAGGGCAAGGGAGAGAGAAGGAGAGGGAGAGAAACATCAATGTGTGGTTGCCTCCCTCATGCCCCCCTACTGGGGACCTGGCCTACAACCAGGCATGTGCCCTGAATGGGAATCAAACTGGCAACCTTTGGTTTGCAGGCCCATGCTCAATGCACTGAGATACACCAGCCAGGGCACATTGAAGGAGTCTTAAATCAGCTTCTCTGACATTATCCTCAGCTCAGTAAGCTGGGTTTGTGCTTCCCCTGACTGGTTCTCCACTTGTCAATATGCTTGTGTGCTGCTACCTGCCTTGACAATCTAACTAGGGTCCAGGGTCTCCACACATGGCCCCCAGGGAGTGTATAGGATCCAGCTCCTCCAGCACCCCCGATGTCCCGACCGCCTGCCTTGGCCTGGGCTTCAACTCTGCATTGCTTGGCTCTGGTCCTCCTTTAACCTCCCCAGAAGGGCCATCTACACATGTAGCACCTCTGTGAACTTTGGAGAAAGGCGCCTTCCAGGCAGATAAACTACAAAGGGGGCCCCATTTGGGCTGGCCAGTTAGAAGAACAGAATATCCTTTCCTTAGGCAGCGTGTAAGGAACAGGGCTTGGCTAACAGAGCCCTGGCTATGTTTTAACTCCTGTTGGTGCCCCTTAGCTGAGTGTATAATTTACACAATCGCACCTGCTTGTCCCCCTAATGCTACTAAGTGTCTCAGGTGCCATCGGGGCCTGACATGATGATGTGCTTGGCTTGTCTGGACAGATTTTGTCTCATTACTGATCACTAAACTTGAGTAAATGCGTTCCTTGTCCACCTGGCTCCCATGTCCTTTGGCTTTCAGATCACCCATGTATAGGGTCCCATTCTTAATCTGATGGTGTGAGAAAGTAATGCTATACCTTATAAAAACTTAAACAGATAACACTAATTCTACAACTCTTACTCACTTGATCAAATAGTATAACAATTCAATTTTAGTATAACAAAACCTATTTCTCCTTGCTTATAGTGCCTTTTTATATTTGATCAATGATGGTCTCTGGATAGATTTTCTAGTCTTTCCTACTCTCCCTCTCTTTTTTTTGTTTTTTGAGGATAATACTACATTTTTTCTTTCCAAAGACAGTTGAGGATTCTTAGGTAGAAGAGAGCTCATTAATATAATTTTGATTTTAGGCCTATACCAAACTTCATGGTTCCAGACTTCCCTGTGAAAAAGATGAGGGTATAAAACCTGTCTGCCTAAACAGCAGAAGTTCCTGAGAAGTAAAACCAGAAAACAGAGAGTAAGGAAAAGAAGCTGAGGTCTGACAGGTTGAACACTCCAGGTCTTGGGGGAAGGTGGTTATAGCAGGGACACTGCAACTGGGGCAGATGTAAAGAAAAGACTAGAGAAGAGAAGAGCCATTCAGACAAGTTGAATCACATTACACTGAACTTTTGAAAACTTATCTAGCCAGCAAGAATCTTTTTCTTATTTGGAATTGCCGGCTTTGAAAGTTCAATCAATTCAATTCAAGGGTCCCTGATAGGACATATAACTACCACAAAGTTTGAGCCTGTCACAAAGCCTCACATGTTACTTTGTGAAATTGAATTTTATTTTGTGAGGAGGGACAGTAGATTATTTTCATACCTCTACCACATTTAAAAGCAAGGGACTTAGTGGCCTGGGGATCATGGCTGTTTTTACAATGCTACCTTTCACAGTTAAAACAAATGTGCACACCATAAATAAAGCATAGAACACATAGGCACTTAAGAGAGAATTTTAGTGTAATCATTGGATATGTATTATGTGGTCTACATATACCTAAATACCTATGTATCAAGAGACAATGGGTGAATACATACAGAAAACTGAAACGGAACTGAAGTTTCATCAGGATGGTTACACGTGATGCTTCAGTTTAGCGAATGTCAGTTCCCTTGAAATGCCTTTGCCCAGCCGTATCTGTGCTAAGATGAAAGCCAAATATTTTTTCTTTTTTTTCTCAGTTGCTCAAAATAGCTTAACAAGTAGAAACAATTTCCCTAGAGTGCCTTTCTTCCTTAAGAGTATTGTGTAAAGGATGAAGGAAAAGTTTAGAGAGAAAAACATCTGCATTTACAAGCCCCAGATGGGGTGGAATTTTTCACGCATTATAAATGAGATGGAGCCCACGAATGAGGGGTGTGACCACTTCTTCCGCCTCCGCCTCCGGTGGTCCTCCTCCAGAAAACTTCCTCTAATTCTGACCACTGGCCCATGGACATAGTGGCTCATGCTAGAAACCTGCTCGAGTTTTCAAAATATTTCTGTATGGTACACTTGAAGTAGTTCATTTTGAACAGACTTCCTAGGAGGCATGACAGAAGGAAAAGCAGCTACTTACTTGTATTTATTTTTTGGAGTGAAATATGCTTTTCCAGTTGTCTCCTAAGTTTCACCTCTGCTCCGTATTTCCCAGTGGTCCCGTTGTCAGCCAGAATGAAGTGGGAATGCATGCTGTTGAGGACAGTGAGCTTGCTCATGGGGTTGGACATGGTCTGGTAGGGCCGGACAACCTGTGGGATTGTGAAAGAAAGAGAAAGAAGTCAGAGAAAAGAAGGAAAAATGGTAAAAGGGGAACTGAACAGAGAAAGAAGAGGGAATGAAGGAATGAAATCAGTTCTTTGGTACAGTGAGAGTACATACAGTGTACTTCTTCTTCCTAATACTGCTTTGGGCAGAAGCAAGATTTATGGTAAATGTTCCATTCAGAGCAAGATCATGCTTAAAGGATTATACGTTTATTTATTTACCAAACATATACAGAAACTAGAGTTTATACTTTCATTGTACTCAAAAATTGGCATGTGAATGACTTGCATTTTGAAGTTAGTCTGTTATTTGACGATGAACTAAAAATAATTGAAAAATTTAGTTATTTTGTTTCTTTATTTCTTTTCTTTATCATGTCCATACTCTAGTATGCACAGCAGAGCAATCATAATTCTGGATGGTGGGGATTGGAGACGCAGAGGGCGGATTTTTCTGTTAAGCTCATTCAATAATCTGAAATTCTGTTATTTCAAATTCACATGGTTCTTATTAGGCACCTTATGTAAGTAGAAATACTGAATGTAAAATAACCTCATGAGAAGAATATGAATCAGGTTCAAAATAATCATCATTTTTTGTTTTTGTTATTTTCATTTCATGGTGAATTACATTACCTAAAACAACAATTCTTAGTGTGGTCTTTCAGATTTTTGTTATAAGAAGAAAGCAAAACCTATTGTGAGCTAGTTGCTTTATATTCATTATCTATATTCCTTGCAACAATCTTACAAGCAGGAGGCTGTTACGTTTATTTTGTAGATAAAGAAACAGGTAAAGTACATTTTCCAAGTGTTTACTATGCATGGAACCAGAATTCACACCCAGGATTGCCTGATTTCCAAATCTATGCTTATTCCCCTTTCCACAGGGCTTACATACAATGAAACAATGTTTCATTTTACTCCTGAAGTACTTAGGTAAGAACTTCCCTCAAGACTATGAAAAGGAACATTCAATAAGTTCATTGTTCAACAGTGTCTTTATAGTTATCCCTGTACTGAATCATTAAAGTTGACAGGACAGAAATAAATGCTGTTGGGTTTTTACTTCTGTGCCGTGGTGCAGTGTTTACATTACCTATAAAGGTGAGATGCTCTTTTTCATTTTCAGTACGTAATAACTCACCGTGGAAAGGTGTAGTAAGATTCGGTAGTTTGTTAAAGGAATTACAAAGTAATTTAGGAAGGACAGTCTTCAACAGTGAACATCTCATGAAAGTCATTTCTGTTTTTTAGACCTTGTTGCTGATTTTGAAACTCTGAATTTCCATAGTCTGTGTCTGACAATCACAATCTACTTAATAAATAGTGAATGAATGAATAGGACAACTTGTGACAGACATGCTTTGTTCAAAATTGTAAAAAAACAACAACCCACTTCTCTTTTCTTAATTGTTGGGGGGTTGATTTCATCTAAATTTAAGATGTATAATTCTAAGCCTTTGAAATACCCTTCATTCCTTTTAATATATGTCCTGTTTGTTAATGTAGCATTAATATAACATTAATTCATAGCTTCATTTTAGTTGGCTCTTGTTAATAAAGGAAACACAGAACTTTTTGATGATTGTTTCCATGGAGCAGTATCCTATTACTTCTTTGTCTGCGTTACTGAATAGAGTCCTCCAAAATACAGAGACAGTGGTTGGCTAACTCCATCCTGATTTCCTTATCAATGGAAGAGTAGGCCGCTTGTGTTTAAAATTCCCATTTTGCTGTTACTCATTTTTTATCATAAAACATTCATTCTACATCAGAAGTTAATAAATATTAATGCTTTGCTGAAAGTGGTTTAGCAGAGAGATTTTCTTTTATTCTTAAAGTACCTCTACATTGCCTTTTTGTAGAAAAGAAAAAATACCTCAGTTACCATTCTCCCTTTCCTAACAGCAGGCTCCACGCCAAGGAGGAAGACCTAAACAAATCTGTGAGCAGCGATGGTGGCGGGTGTGGGCAGTAGATTTTTTTAGAGGTTCAACTCTGCATGACAGTAAATTCAGACATTTGTTCTAGCTGAGACACAAGGACATATTCTAAATTTTGGGAATTTAGTTATTAAGACCATCAGATAATATGACATTTTCAAATGAAGAAAGGCATGAATACAATTCTGGGCCAAGCTTATGTTCTCACCACAATCTAAGAATAAAAGAACATAATTAAATTATCAGACTATGTTCTATACATCTTTTCCTCCACCATAGGATTCTATGGATGTTGGTGCTTTGTCTGCTGAGTGTTGACCTCCTTTCCCTGTGAAACGTGGCACACCAGTTCTTTGGGAATACAGTACATTTGAATCAGTCATGCAAGAAGATCAAGTTTACAGTATCACTCATGCATTTTAGTTTCTTCATCTTGATGGTTCCCATTTCCTTTGACTTTATGTGAAGGAAAAATTCAAGGTGATTACACTTTGGCAGAAGCTTTGTCTACTGAATAGAGGGTATAAGTCTAAAATAATGAAAATATACTTATTTACTTTCTAGTATCATTGGGGGAAGATGTGCTGAATCTTGAAACAATTCTGAATGTATAAGCCACAGAATGTTTGAAACCCAGTTCTGCCATTGGCTGTTTGAATCTGCATCTCATTTTTTTAATCTCTGAAAGGAAAAGAGTAAAACCACTTACCGTAGATGAGATTATATGTGTAAAGCACCTAAAACCACGTCTAACTCTTAGCAGGCAATCTATAAATGTGATTTCCTTCTTTTTAGAAAAAAAATTTTTAAAATTTATTTTTAGACAGAGGGGAAGGGAGGGAGAAAGAGAGGAAGAGAAACACCAATGTATGGTTACCTCTTGTGGGCTCTTCACCAGGGACCTGGCCTGCAACCCAGGAATGTGCTCGGACTGGGAATCAAACCTATGACTCTTTGGTTCACAGGCTGGCACTCAACCCACTGAGCCACACCAGCCAGGGCATGTAATTTTATTCTTAAGTTCTGTTTTATTTTATCAACTATAAAGTGATTTTCTAATTGCAAACTGGTGACCGAAAGGAAATGACAGAAGACAAATTGCTGACCTTTGTTTTACACAAGGGATTTAAGTCAAGCAGTGTAAGTAAAGGCAAAAAATGAGCAATTTTTGGCAAATATGCAAAGTGTTTTTTCTTTGCTGTGTCTTCCCAGGCCATTGAAGAAGGTGATACTCTGGAACTATTCATTGATAATTTACAAAGTGGGAGATCACTTCTCAAATATTTCAGAGAAATTACCTCCAAAAACACTTGATATTCTTCATTACAAACATATCAGCAGTCTATTTTTCTCTGAGTTTCAATTTGCATATCTGCAAAAGATTTACTGATCATCCTGTTATGTTTTTCAAATAGAGAAGAATAATACCTTTGTATCACATAAATATGAATGAATTTTTCTGTTTGACAAAATTTCAGAGGTAATGTACATTCACTTTTAAGAGCTCATGAAAAGAGGACTTAAAAAGTGTGCATGAGTGTGCACATGCAGGTGTGCGCATGTGTAGGCATGGTAAGAACTATGACTTATTCACGACTTGTAGATGTATTAGATCGCTATGTTCCATATCCGGGGTTTCCTGAGAGAATCAAGCCCTCCTGCACTACGGCACCCACTGCAGGTAACGGGTTACCGATTCTCCTAAGACTGAAGGATGGTCCAGGTTATGTACCATTCTTGCGAGAATTGAGAAGAGTCAATCAAATAATTTTTTGTGTTTTAAATTTCAGATGAGGAATCAGATGGAGAAAGGCTGAATGGTGTCTGGAAGGCGTGCACATCAACTGGTTTTTCATGATTGGCAACTACAGTAGTATCTAGATCCAGAAACGGAATTCAGTTAGAAATGGAATTGAGACCCTTTGGGTATCATGGGCCGAATACCTCTAAGAAATGACACTTTGTTTCTCTTGTCTCTCAAGAGGAGTTGAGAGCCTTCTTCATTCAATCTATTGTACACTGGTTCCTACTGGCAGTCTGGTAAAATTCTGGTTCCAAGGACTTTGTATGCCTTGACTCTGAAACAAAGAGGCAATGAAGGCAGAGCTGTTTAGGGGTTAATAGAGGTACAGTCCTTTACATAAGGCATTTGTAAGGTCATTATCATTGCCAGGAAGGGACTGATCCAGAGACACTGTGGGAAAACTGAACATCCTTTATGTGTTGGTGCCAGAGTACTGCATTAATTTTCCCTGGAGGGGCTTAAATCAATAATTTGGGGGCTTATTGAAGACATCTGCTTGAGTTTTCCTAGCTATTTTCATAAATGTTTTGATCTTAACCAGGTGTACATAGTGGGAAGTTAGGAGTTCTAGTTCTAAGTCCTCTGGTTACTAATTTGTGATCTTCAACAAGAATTCATTCATTTGTTCACTCATTAAGAATGGTTTGAGAAAATGAATGTGATAAGTACTATTGTCCTGGCTTAAGGAGACATATAATCTCATGTACGTCTCATCTCATCTAATCTCATCTCATTATATCACACAATAAATATTAAAAATATATTTAGTGGAAGAAACTTTTTGGACAGTAGCTTTCTCATCTATAAAGTAGAAGACTATAATTTCTAAAGGTTTTCTACCTCTAAAATTGAGTCTGGATAGCCTGTGTTAAACAGTACATTTCTTCTTTTCCAAGTTAGTGCAGAACAATGAAACTCTATGTGTGTTGGCTATAAAAAAAATAGTAGTTCACTCTTGACCTGGGGTCTCTTCCATTTTGTGGTGCTTTCTCCAATGCAAGGGCCGTTTGGTCATCTGTGACAACTTTCCTGAACAGAACTGAGTTGAGCTGAATCGGATTTTGATTCATCAATCACAGGCCTTCTGCAATGTCAGACTGTGCTGCCTGGGGAGGTGTGTGTCAGCATGTCCCAGGCAAGTAGCAGGGGAGGGATGTGCATCCACAGAGTCATTCTTTCCTTCCCAACAGCATTGCAATTTTAATTTAGCAAGAAGAAAGCTAGCATTCATCAAC